ACTGTGATTGCGCTGTGCTGCTCAGAGCGACGGGTGGTTCAAGACAGGAAAGTTGCAGGTCACCATAAGCATAGCAGCTCTAGGGAGCCGTCCAGTGTAAGAGGAAAATGAACAAACATCGGCAACATTCGACAGCCAGCAGCCGCAAACGCCAGGCCACAGCAGGTTGTCCAGCGAGGTTGCTAGGACGTAGTTTCGGTGATGCGTGGCAGAAGCAACTGCAATCGCTCGCTGAGCAGGCGGTGAGCCGCTGGCCGTGCCCGGCGACGGCTCCGTCCCTGCAGGCAGCCGCAGGAGTGTGCTTGCGCGCGCTGGAGTGGCTGCGGGCAGCGCTGTCCGGCCCGGACAGCGTGGCGGTCGAAACGGCTTGTCTACCAGAGACCGCTGAAGAATTGCAACGGTATCAGCGGTTTCTGCTGCGGCATGGCGTCGTCTTGGGTGCCGGGGTCTCAGAAGCACGCTATGGAGCAAGATGGTTGCTGCCGTGCGCAAGCCTGAAATGCTGGATTCCGTGCATCATGGAACCAGCGCGTCGCTCTGGGCATTCACGCAAAAGTTCGATTTCGATGCCATCGTGTGGAGCGGCCAGGCAGATGCGAACGTCTGCGCTCGCAGTCAGACAAGGCTGACGGATGCAGACGAACGAGCAGCTGCGGCGTTGGCAAAGTCCAGCTGGGTGCCTGGAGCTCCATCACAGGTCTTACAAGAAGCATTGGGGTGTGTCCGGGCAGCAGGAAGCAATCAGCAACGCCATACTTGTTGTTCAGGAAGATGGGGATGCGGACCGCCCATGTGCTTCGACCGGAATGGTCACCTCCAAAGCGAAAGTCCTTGGCGCAGCGGCTGAACTGGATCTGGTCAATGTGGTAGCCGATGAACTCGAGGTGGGAGACACAGGCGAGAAAGGTCTGGTAGCCAGCCAAGCAGGACGATGCTCCAGGATCCAACATGACAGCATCCGGCCGTTCGGACCCGAACTGGTCGAGCAGCAGGTTGGCCATCATCGAGGATCCATCCTCGATGGCGGGGCGCTTGTTCGGATTGGGCGTAGAACGGAACGAAGCTGCTTGTGGTGGAGGGCATGCGCTGGCCCAATGGCCAGATCCACCGCAGCGTATGCACTGCGTTGCACTCGCAGCTCGGGACTTGGCCTGTGAAGGCTTGCCCTTGCTTGAAGGCTTGCCACCGGACGTTTTCCTCGTCCTTGAGCTTTGGAGTGTCCGGAAGCAACAGCTGGTTCACCTTGTTGTCCTTCCCGAAGAGCAACTACTACAGGAAGAAAACCACGCGACAGGCGAAGCTCCTGAAACCTCTTGCTGGCGTCCACGTCGGCGCTGTGGACCTGATCATACTCCTCAACTGCCCAAGAGGCAGGATCGGCGCTCATGTAGGTGCAGTCTCCAATTTCATCAGCTTCGTAGAAGGCGGGGTCGCAGTACTCCTCGGGCTAATCTTGCTCTTCCCAGTATTCATCGTGCTGGTAGTACATAGGATCCTCCTCGGGCGAGTCGGCAAAGCCCTTCTAGTCCTCGTAGGTGCCATCATCGGCCCAATAACCATGCTGCTGGCAGCGTCCTCGAACCGATCGTAGGTGTTGTGCTTGTGGCCGGGGCGCTTGTAGTCTTGACCAAGGATGTAGTAGAAGGCCTTGACGGTGGTGTCGCGGTCCGTGGCCTTGTTGGCGTGGGCGGTGATGAGGCGTACCTGTTCACGGGTAAGGCTGGCACGCCGAAGAAGATGCCAGCCAACAATTGTGGAGGGGAGGTCAACGCTGTGCTTGGCAACCGTGCGCAGGGCCTCGTCGTGCTCTGTGACATAGCTCAGGAGGGTCTGACCTGCCCGGCGCTGAACCTAGTTGAAGTAGCCATCTGAATCAGACGTCAGCTCCGCACGTACTGGAAGGACTGGTCCAGCAACTTCAGGATCTTCTCGAAGGTGTCATCGGCCTCGATCTGGGCATCCTCCAGCTGTTCCACAACTTTCCAGGCGGTGCCGGTGAGAGAGCCGAGGAGGGAGGTTGTAGACCGGCTCCTTTAGACCGCTTTTTTCTGTCTCTTCGTTACCACCATCTTCTTGTTGTACAAAGCTATCCTCTTCCGCCACTTTCGGAAGTCATTGGGTTGACCGCTGAACAGGGGAACGCAGCTATCCCTTGTAGTGGCCACATCCGTGGACGGGGGGCTCATAGAGCTTTGTGAAGGGGAGGAGGATGCCATGAAGATACCTAGGTCGCTGTCCGGGAGGTTGCTGCACTGCCGGTTCTGCCGAGGATGCCAAAGTGACCCGCAGTCTGGATGCCGAAGAGCGGCTCCTCTGCCAATATCACTTCGTTGCCAGGGCCCACGAAGCCCCAGGCTGAAGACAAGGTAGAGCACCAAAGCGCCAGCGCACCTTTCAATGCTCTGCGTAGCCAGTGGGCGAAGCAAAGTCCCACTGCGGGGTGATTTGGGCCAGGGGCCACGGCACCTGAGTGTACACCTGATCATGCGGCGCGTGATTCACAGCACATTATACGAAAGACACAGTGATGCATTAAAGCCAGCAACTGGAACAACAGCTTATGTGCGTATAAAAGCCATGCGTTCCGCATTTTACGTCGGAAAAGATAAGCGAGAAGTTGACGCAAAAGCCGCAGAGCTTTTCAGAAGTCTGTGTTGAAGACCAACGCAAGCGAGTCCTGCGTGATGGTGGTACTGCAGGGAGAGCTTGGGCAGAGCCTCAAAGTTTTTTCCGGGTTTCAGACACATCCCTTGCACTCAAAGTTGCGCGCTCGTTTTTTCAGACAGCTTGCAAGTCATGGCATTTGCACGCGCATTTTCTTCGACAATGCTTTCGATGGTGGGCTGCAGGGTGACGGCAATGCATTGATTGAGCTCACCCGGCAAGCTTTTGAACGCAGACGCCAGCTCATTATTGTCACCCGAGCAGAGGAGGGCGACAAGGAGATCGACAACCTGAATGGCCCACGCGCCATTGCACCCCAGCAAGACGGCAAGCGCGCTGAAGACTTCCTGTGGTCAAAACACCTCGGCCGTCAACACCTGAATAGGACAGTGACAACAAAGTTCAAAAAGCAGGCAAGAAGGCATGCAAGATCTCTGCGAGTTTACTCTGCACCTTCCCTACGCATGCCCCTACGCACTCACTCAGCACTCTTCCTATGCGTGTCCCTATGCGCTCACTCAGCACTCTTCCTTTGCATGCCCTTATGCGCTCACTCAGCACTCTTCCTATGCATGCCCCTACGCACTCACTCAGCACTCTTCCTATGCATGCCCCTATGCATTCGCTATGCATTCGCTATGCACTCTTCCTACGCATGCCCCTCACTCGGCACTCTTCCCATGCATGCCCCTATGCACTCACTCAGCACTCTTCCTATGCATGCCCCTCTTCCTATTCATGCCCCTATGCGCTCACTCGGCACTCTTCCTATGCATGCCCCTATGCACTCACTCAGCACTCTTCCTATGCATGCCCCTACGCACTCACCCAGCACTCTTCCTACGCATGCCCCTACGCACTCAGTCAGCATTCTTCCTACGCATGCCCCTATGCACTCACTCAGCACTCTTCCTATGCATGCCCCTACGCACTCAATCACCTATGCACTCACTCAGCACTCTTCCTATGCATGCCCCTACGCTTTCACTCAGCACTCTTCCTATGCACGCCTCAATGCACCCACTCTGCACTCTTCCTATGCACGCACCTATGCATTCGCTATGCGCTCTTCCTATGCATGCCCCTGCGCACTCATTCAGCACTCTTCCTATGCATGCCCCTATGCACTCACTCAGCACTCTTCCTAGGCATGCCCCTATGCACTCACCCAGCACTCTTCCTACGCATGCCCCTACGCACTCAGTCAGCATTCTTCCTATGCATGCCCCTACGCACTCACTCAGCACTCTTCCTATGCATGCCCCTACGCTTTCACTCAGCGCTCTTCCTACGCACGCCTCAATGCACTCACGCTGCACTCTTCCTATGCATGCACCTATGCATTCGCTTTGCACTCTTCCTATGCATGCCCCTACGCACTCATTCAGCACTCTTCCTATGCATGCCCCTTTGCACTCACTCGGCACTCTTCCTATGCATGCATTCGCTTTGCGCTCTTCCTATGCAATCCCTACACACTCATTCAGCACTCTTCCTATGCATGCCCCTTTGCACTCACTCGGCACTCTTCCTATGCATGCCCCTATGCAATTAATGTCTACTTGTCCTATGCACTTCAGCTGTGCAGAACGCACCGATTTTACCGGAAAAACCCTTCGCAATGCTTTCGGGAAAAAGCGGCAAGATGTTTCTGTTGAGCTCATGAGGGAGTGGTGAGCCCAGATGCCACCCAGATGCGCGATGAGCTTGGTGGGTGGAGCCCCAGCATCATGAGCCTTTACACGTGTGGCTATCTCATTCTCGATGAGGCGCCGCCCGCACGAGGACACGAGGCAGGTGGTGTTAGTCGAACACTGCGCAAACCTGATGATAGGTCTGTTGCGTAGGGCTTAGCCTTGAAGAAACAACATCGGGTCTTTTCAACGAAGAGGACACTTGTCAGGCACCACACAAACCAAAGCTGTTTGGGTGAGAGTGTTGCGGCACAGGGCAATGGGCGCTAGACATGTTCATGCAACAAATGTGTTCTCAGTGACTGGCCTTCGCTATCAACTTGCGAGGCAGTTCTCTTGCAAGGCCGAATGCAAGGCAAATGGGACTTGCAGCGATCCTCTAAATATCGTTGCCTGATATCATTGTCCTTTAAGCCTTTCCTTTGCTAGATGCCCTCACGTAATCTCTTAATGTCCTTCCTTAACGCCGTCTTGGTTCTGCAAGTTACTTCTCAGGCCTTCGTTTGTTGCTTGACGACGCGTTTGCCCAGCTTGACAGCGTCCATGCCGCAGAGTTTGCTCAAAACGGCTTGTGGCAAGACATCGGGGCGGACGCACGCATGCAGAATTTCCAAAGACTTGTGCAATATGTTTTTGATTTCGTAGTTTTGCCATGAAGCGGAGGCACCGAGTGCGTGTCAAGCCATGGATGGCGCTGGTCTTTATTTTGGTGAAGTTGATGGGGGCCTTTGTGCCACCACCGCAGGTTGGCGATGGAAATGCAGTTTCAAGACACGGTTGCGTTTATTATTCTGTTATAAAGACATTTTTTAAATTTGGTGTGTCTTGAATGGATTCATGCAAAGTGCGTAGTTTGTTTCTCTTTCATCCGCAGGTGGCATCAGCGAGACTGCGGGGCCTCATTGAGCGTCCTCAATTTATTGGGTCTAGCATTGAAACTTTGCTGTTTGGTAATTTTTTCTACTTGGTCAGACAGAAAAAACATTCTTGCATATTTTTGGTTTTATATTGCATTGTATATTTTTCACTCCTCAATCTTTGCCCTCGAGGTGAAAGAGGATTTGCGCCCACGCTCGACCCATTGCAGAGCTTTGGATGTGAGGGTCTGGCAAGTCATTGTTTCTGCTTCGGGTCTTGTTGTAGCGACAATACAGGCAGTGCGGGCATTCAAAGCCTCTTCCGAGGGCAAAATCCGAGCAGCAGTGGCAAAGGCCATGAAACCTTTTGAGCCCAGCAGGCCGCAAGACGAGGTCATCCAAAGGCCAGTGATGGGAACTATCCAGAAACGCGTTGAGTGCTGGCGACAACATGCGACCATCATTCATGGTCGCTATCAGTCCGGCAAGTCGGTGGCAACAGAAGAAGCCTTGCGCGGGGTGCGAGGTGTTGTGCGATTCAGCATCGAGAGCGCCGATTGGAAGAGGATGATGTTCGAGGAACTTAAAGTGGAGAACAGTGGTCTGTTCAAAGAGATGATGCGCCGAGTGGGCGAGAAGCTCAAGGACTTTCCCGACAACCTCACCAAGTGTCCCGTTCTCCTCCTCGACATCCCTCGTACAACCATTGAAGGACTGAGTGGACAGCAGTTTTTTTTTCAAATATTGTAATGCATTTGACCCGAGTCATTTTGTTCCGGTTCCTATGGGCGAGGCATCGACCGAGTCTCTTCTACAGCGAAGGATGTGGCGACGGACAAAATCGGCTGTGCCATACATGCTCTCCAGCTGAAAGACTAAGTTCCAATGGTTCAAACAGAAAACGTTTTGCGGGGACTGTAGTTACGTCTATTTATCCTTGGTCCAAGGTGATTGTATCAGCCTCCTCGGCGGCAGTGGCGCTGGCTTTCGATGCTGGTGGAACTGCAAGACAGGAAGACATTTGGGTTGCTGACTTGACGGAGGAAGAAACGAAGGAGTTTTTGGCACTGCATGGGCATGAGAAGAATTGGAAAGACTTCGTGGATGCTTGTGTTTCGGCTCAATTCAACAACATGTTGATTGATTAAGGTGTGTTTGCCCCGTCGAGTTTTTTGTTTGGCGGACTTTGACCGAGTTCATTTCAGGTGGCTTCCGGATTGGCGACTTGGAGAAGGCCTGTGAGAATCTGAAGCGCCTGGCTTGAACGGATGATGATTTACTTTTTCGGTGTTCAAAACCTCTCAGGGATATGTGTTTTGTATCTCTTGAACTAAGGAAAGGAATGTCATTGGACGACACGAAGCAAGAATGTCAGCGAGTTGCTGATGATGAAGTGCGAGGCTTCATGGAGCTTCAAGTGCACCCCAAGGTCACGGGGCGCGAGATGGTGAAAGAGCTCCTGACGGCTGATCCGGCAGGTATTTTGAATGTTGTAAATGGCATCCGCATCCTTCCAAAAAAACTTGCCGCGCAAATTCGCAATGAGAGTTGTCATGCAGTGTATTTTCACCCTATCAAGAAGCGCTTCTTTTTTGCTTCCAAATTGCATAAGGAAGCCGCTGAAGCGCAACTGGCAAATCCATGACCGATCTTTTGCGAAAATGGTCGGAAGACTTCAGCTCCTTCGCTGTCTTGCTTGTGCATGTTTTCCAGCCCCGTAAGCACAACGCATGCATAGTGTCAGCTATGTGAGATGGTGTATTTTGAAATCCCATTCAAGGATATTCGCAAATAGGTCAGAAGACGATTCAGGCATGCTGATCCAAATCTATGCACCTGCACTTCAACTTTTCCGAAATCGGGTGTCGATCCTGAAGTTTCGCACAGCTTCAATGAAACCCGACATGGACCTTGGAGTCTTTGCGGCTTGGCTGCTGTTTTTTTTGCCAGGTGCATGAGTCGTGACATGAGGTTCGCGAGGATCATGATTTCTGAAAGACCAGAAAGAGCCCCAACCCCCAGTTCAATACTATACCCCGCCCCAGCTCCCACAGCAACATGTACACAAAACACCACAAAAGACACCTAACAACAAACCATCACATCAGCAGCCATGAACCCGATGAACCGAAGGCACCAAGTGCGTGTCAAGCCATGGATGGTGCTGGTTGGTGACTTCAGTCTGATGAAGTTGATGGGAGCGTTTGTGCCACCACCACAGGTCAAGGACTTGAACATGTCAAGTTGGTTCCCAACTTTTGTGCTCAGATGACCACACCCTTTGTGTTTCAGATAAAGACATTTTGATGTTTTATGTTTTGGTCTTGCAGATGGCTACGTCATTTGGAGGCGGTTCCAGTGAGATGCCCACCACGCCTTGGGGCATGCAGCGTTGGGCATGTGGTTGGCTCATGCATCATGGCAGCCCCAGCCTATGCCTCTGACACGTCGGGGCTGGATTTTCAACAATTCGTTGAAGAGTTTGCGGGAAAGAAGGACTTCTTCGCCGCCTTGGCCAGCGCCACTCTTTCAGTGGCGGGGACTGCAGTTGCAGTGGCTCAATTGGATCAAGCAAAGCGCTCGGCGGACGAGGCATTCAAAGCCTCTCCAGAAGGCAAAATCCAAGAAGGGCAAAGGCCATGGAGCTTTTTGAACCCAGCAGGCTGCAAGACGAGGTCATCCAAAGGCCAGTGATGGAAACTATCCGGAAACGCATTGAGAGCTGGCAACAACATGCGAACATCATTGGGGGTCGCTATCAGTCCGGCAAGTCGGTGGCAACAGAAGAAGCCTTGCGCGGGGTGCGAGGTGTTGTTCGATTCACCATCAGAAGTGCCGATTGGGCAGATCGGATGTGCAAGCAACTGGGAGTAGTTACGAAGGGCTGTTCAAAGAGGTCATGCGGCGAGTGCGCGAGAAGCTCAAGGACTTCCCCAACAACCTCACCAAGTTTCCAATCCTTCGTCTTGAAGTCCCTCGTACAACCACCGAAGGACTGGCTGGACAAAATATGTTTTTTCAGTTTTCTAGCGATGCTGTAACGCATTTTGCCCTAGTCTGTTTGTTTCCGTTCCGCTCGCCGAGGCATCAACTTAATCTCTTCTACTGCGAAGGATGTGGCGACGGACAAAATCGGAAGTGCCATTCATGCCCCCCGGCTTCAATGCAAAATTCCATTGTTGTGGTATCTATGTCTGATTCTCCTTTGTCCAAGGTAATTGTGTCAGCCTCTTCGGCGGCAGTGGCGTTGGCTTTTGATGCTGGAGGAACTGAAAGGCAGGAAGACATTTGGGTTGGCGACTTGACAGAGGAGGAAGCGAAGGAAAATTGGCACTGCATGGGCATGAGAACAAGTGGGAGGACTTCGTGGATGCTTGTGTTTCAGCTCAATTCAACAACATGTTGGTTGATCAAGGTGTGTTTGCTGCGTTCAAGTTGCGTTCTTGTTTTTTTTGGGGACTTTGACCGAGTTCATTTCAGGTGACTTCCGGATTGGCGACTTGGCGAAGGCCTGTGAGAATCTGAAGCGCCTGACTTGAACGGATGATGATTTACTTTTTCGGTGTTCAAAACCTCTCAGGGATATTTGTTTTGTATCTCTTGAACTAAGGAAAGGAATGTCATTGGACAACACTAAGCAAGCGTATCAGCGACTTGCTACTGTGGAAGTTGTCGGCTTCATGGAGCTTCAAGTGCACCCCAAGGTCACGGGGCGCGAGATGTTGCAAGAGCTCCTCAAAGTTTATCCGGAGGTATTTTGAATGTGTTGTAAAATGGCATCCGCATCTTCCAAGGGAAGGTTGTACCGAACTAATTCGCAACAAGAGTGTCCTGCTGTGTATTTTCACCCTATCAAGAGCGTTCTTTTTTGCTTCCACATAGCATAAGAAAGCCCGCGAAGCGCAACTGGCATAATCCACATGACGATCTAATGGGCTCGGCATCGGGAAGAACTTCAGCTCTTCGGGCCAATCGTCGTGCTTGGAGCATGTTGATGGCCCATACACGCAACGCATGCATAGTGGCAGCGATGTGAGATGGTGCATTTTTTAATCCCATTCAAGGATATTCGCAAATAGGTCAGAAGACGATTCAGGCATGCTGATCCAAATCTATGCACCTGCACTTCAACATTTCCGAAAACGGGTGTGCTTCTGTTTGAGTTGTTTTTCCCTTTTTCCTTTTTTCTCTTGAAGATGAAAAAGAAGGGCTGCGAGTTGTGTCCCCCAACTCGTGGCTTTAATCAAGGCATTGTCCACGAAGCAGATCCTGAAGCTTCGCGCGCAATGAAACCCGACATGGACCTTGGAGTCTTTGCAGCTTGGCTGCTGTTTTTTTTGGCCAGGTGAGTCGTGACATGAGGTTCGCGAGGATCATGACTTCTGAAAGACCAGAAAGAGCCTCAACCCCCAGTTCAATACTATTCCCCGCCCCATCTCCCACAGCAACATGTACACCAAACACCACAAAAAACCTAGCAAGAAACCATCACATCAACGTCATTAACACCCCAACGGCATACTTGTACAGAAGCATGTGCATAGATTCAGCACAGAAGCCTACAACAAAACACCAGCAACACTCAGCCAACCTAGACAATGTGTTAAATAATGTTTACAATACTAAGAAATATTATGGAGTAAAAGTGCATGGAGTGGTGTTGGCACACTCCTTGTTGTAGCCATGAACCCGATGAACCAAAGGCACCAAAAGCGGGTCAAGCCATGGATGGTGCTGGTTGGTGGCTTCAGTCTGGTGAAGTTGATGGGAGCCTTCGTGCCACCACCACAGGTCAAGGACATGAAAATCATGTCAACTTGGTTCCTAACTCCTGTGGTTATGCGGTTGTGCGTAAGAAAAGGCCAGTTTGATGTTTCATGTTTTCGTCTTGCAGATGGCTATGTCATTTGGAGGCGGTTCCAGTGAGATGCCCACCACGCCTTGGGGCACGCGGCATTGGGCATGAGGTTGGCTCATGCATCATGGCAGCCCCAGCCTATGCCTCTGACACGTCGGGAAGGGATTTTCAACAATTCGTTGACGACGTTGGGCGAAACCGCGACTTCTTCATTAGGTGGCAAGTGCAAGGCCTTTCGGATTTTGTGGCCATTGGGTGGCGGCATTCAAAGCTTCTCCAGAAGGCAACATCCAACAAGCGCTGGCAAAGGCCATGGAGCCTTTTGAACCCAGCAGGCCGCAAGACGAGGTCATCCAAAGGCCAGTGATGGAAACTCTCCGGCAACGCATTGCGAGCTGGCAACAACATGCGACCATCATTGGGGGTCGGTACCAGTCAGGAAAGTCTGTGGCAACAGAAGAAGCGTTGCGCGGGGTGCGAGGTGTTGTTCGATTCACCATCAGAAGTGCCGATTGGGCAGATCGGATGTGCAAGCAACTGGGAGTAGATGACGAAGGGCTGTTCAAAGAGGTCATGCGGCGAGTGCCCGAGAAGCTCAAGGACTTCCCCAACAACCTCACCAAGTTTCCAATCCTTCTTCTTGAAGTCCCTCGTACAACCACCGAAGGACTGGCTGGACAAAATATGTTTTTTTCAGTTTTCTAGCGATGCTGTAACGCATTTTGCCCTAGTCTGTTTGTTTCCGTTCCGCTCGCCGAGGCATCAACTTAATCTCTTCTACTGCGAAGGATGTGGCGACGGACAAAATCGGAAGTGCCATTCATGCCCCCCAGCTTCAATGCTAAATTCAAAGGCTTCAAACAATACCATGTTGAGTGAATGTAGTTCCGTCCAATTATCCTTTGTCCAAGGTGATTGTATCAGCCTCCTCGGCAGCAGTGGCGCTGGCTTTCGATGCTGGTGGAACTGAAAGACAGGAAGACATTTGGGTTGCTGACTTGACGGAGGAGGAAGCGAAGGAGTTTTTGGCACTGCATGGGCATGAGAAGAATTGGAAAGACTTCGTGGATGCTTGTGTTTCGGCTCAATACAACAACATGTTGGGTCTTGTAAAACGCAGGGCGAGCGATGGCCGTAAAGCCAACATGTTGATTGACTAAGGTGTGTTTGCCGCGGTCGAGTTTTTGGGGGGGACTTAAACCAGAGTTCATTTCAGGTGGCTTGCGGATTGGCGACTTGGTGAAGGCCTGTGAGAATCTGAAGTGCCTGGCTTGAACGGATGATGATTTATTTTTTCGGTGTTTGAACCTCTTAGTTTTTTTTGTTATGTGTGTTCTTGAAGCCAAGGAAGGGAATATCATTGAACGACACGAAGCAAGAGTATCGGCGATTTGCTACAGCAGAAGCTGTCGGCTTCATGGAGTTGCAGGTTCATCCTAAGCTCAACGGACGCCAGATGTCGCAAGAGCTCCTCAAAGTTTATCCTGAAGGCATGCCAGAGGTTTTCAACAGCATTCGCATCCTCCTCGGGAGCTTGCCGAACTAATTCGCAACAAGAGTTGTCCTGCTGTGTATTTTCACCCTATCAAGAAGCGCTTCTTTTTTGCTTCCACATTGCATAAGAAAGCCGCTGAAGCGCAACTGGCAAATCCATGACCGATCTTTTGCGAAAATGGTCGGAAGACTTCAGCATCGCTGTCTTGCTTGTGCATGTTTTCCAGCCCCATACACGCAACGCATGCATAGTGGCAGCTATGTGAGATGGTGCATTTTTAAATCCCATTCAAGGATATTCGCAAATAGGTCAGAAGACGATTCAGGCATGCTGATCCAAATCTATGCACCTGCACTTCAACATTTCCGAAAACGGGTGTGCTTCTGTTTGATTTGTTTTTCCCTTTTTCCTTTTTTCTCTTGAAGATGAACAAGAAGGGCTGCGAGTTGTGTCCCCCAACTCGTGGCTTTAATCAAGGCATTGTCCACGAAGCAGATCCTGAAGCTTCGCGCGCAATGAAACCCGACATGGACCTTGGAGTCTTTGCAGCTTGGCTGCTGTCTTTTTTGGCCAGGTGAGTCGTGACAGGAGGTTCGCGAGGATCATGACTTCTGAAAGACCAGAAAGAGCCTCAACCCCCAGTTCAATACTATACCCCGCCCCATCTCCCACAGCAACATGTACACCAAACACCACAAAAAACCTAGCAAGAAACCATCACATCAACGTCATTAACACCCCAACGGCTACTTTTTTGTACAGAAGGATGTGATAGAATCAGCACAGAGCCTACAACAAAAACAGCAACACTCAGCCAACTAGACAATGTGTAAAATTAATGTTTACTATACTAAGAAATATTATGAGTAAAAGTTGCATGGAGTGGTGTTGGCACACTCTTGTTTTAGCCCTGAACCCGAATGAACCAAAGGCACCAATAGCGTGTCAAGCCATGGATGGTTGTGGTTGGTGGGCTTCAGTCTGGTGAAGTTGATGGGAGCCTTCGTGCCACCACCACAGGTCAAGGACATGAAAATCATGTCAACTTGGTTCCTAACTCCTGTGGTTATGCGTTTGTGCGTAAGAAAAGGCCAGTTTGATGTTTCATGTTTTCGCCTTGCAGATGGCTATGTCATTTGGAGGCGGTTCCAGTGAGATGCCCACCACGCCTTGGGCCCCGCGGCATTGGGCATGTGGTTGGCTCATGCATCATGGCAGCCCCAGCCTATGCCTCTGACACGTCGGGAAGGGATTTTCAACAATTCGTTGACGACGTTGGGCGAAACCGCGACTTCTTCATTATCGTGGCAAGTGCAGCCTTCGCATTTGGGCAATTGGTGGCGGCGTTCAAAGCCTCTCCAGAAGGCAAAATCCAAGAAGCGCTGGCAAAGACCATGGAGCCTTTTGAACCCAGCAGGCCGCAAGACGAGGTCATCCAAAGGCCAGTGATGGAAACTCTCCGGCAAGGCATTGCGAGCTGGCAACAACATGCGACCATCATTGGGGGTCGGTACCAGTCAGGAAAGTCTGTGGCAACAGAAGAAGCCTTGCGCAGGGTGCGAGGTGTTGTTCGATTCACCATCAGAAGTGCCGATTGGGCAGATCGGATGTGCAAGCAACTGGGAGTAGATGACGAAGGGCTGTTCAAAGAGGTCATGCGGCGAGTGCCCGAGAAGCTCAAGGACTTCCCCAACAACCTCACCAAGTTTCCAATCCTTCTTCTTGAAGTCCCTCGTACAACCACCGAAGGACTGGCTGGACAAAATATGTTTTTTCAGTTTTCTAGCGATGCTGTAACGCATTTTGCCCTAGTCTGTTTGTTTCCGTTCCGCTCGCCGAGGCATCAACTTAATCTCTTCTACTGCGAAGGATGTGGCGACGGACAAAAGCGGAAGTGCCATTCATGCCCCCCGGCTTCAATGCTAAATTCAAAGGCTTCAAACAAAACCATGTTGAGTGAATGTAGTTCCGTCCAATTATCCTTTGTCCAAGGTGATTGTACCAGCCTCCTCGGCGGCAGTGGCGCTGGCTTTCGATGCTGGTGGAACTGAAAGACAGGAAGACATTTGGGTTGCTGACTTGACGGAGGAGGAAGCGAAGGAGTTTTTGGCACTGCATGGGCATGAGAACAAGTGGGAAGACTTCGTGGATGCTTGTGCTTCAGCTCAATACACCAACATGTTGATTGATGAAGGTGTGCTTGCTGCGTTCAAGCGTTTTTTCGGGGGGGACTTTGAGTTCATTTCAGGTGGCTTCCGGATTGGCGACTTGGCGAAGGCCTGTGAGAATCTGAAGTGCCTGGCTTGAACGGATGATGATTTATTTTTTCGGTGTTTGAACCTCGTATTTGTTTTTGTTATGTGTGTTCTTGAAGCCAAGGAAGGGAATATCATTGAACGACACGAAGCAAGAGTATCGGCGATTTGCTACAGCAGAAGCTGTCGGCTTCATGGAGTTGCAGGTTCATCCTAAGCCTTAGCTCAACGGACGCCAGATGTCGCAAGAGCTCCTCAAAGTTTATCCTGAAGGCATGCCAGAGGTTTTCAACAGCATTCGCATCCTCCCTCGGGAGCTTGCCGAACTAATTCGCAACAAGAGTTGTCATGCTGTGTATTTTCACCCTATCAAGAAGCGCTTCTTTTTTGCTTCCAAATTGCATAAGGAAGCCGCTGAAGCGCAATTGGCAAATCCATGACCGATCTTTTGCGAAAATGGTCGGAAGACTTCAGCTCCTTCGCTGTCTTGCTTGTGCATGTTTTCCAGCCCCATACACGCAACGCATGCATAGTGGCAGCTATGTGAGATGGTGTATTTTGAAATCCCATTCAAGGATATTCGCAAGTAGGTCAGAAGACGATTCAGGCATGCTGATCCAAATCTATGCACCTGCACTTCAACATTTCCGAAAACGGGTGTGCTTCTGTTTGATTTGTTTTTCCCTTTTTCATTTTTTCTCTTGAGGATGAAAAAGAAGGGCTGCGAGTTGTGTCCCCCAACTCGTGGCTTTAATCAAGGCATTGTCCACGAAGCAGATCCTGAAGCTTCGCGCGCAATGAAACCCGACATGGACCTTGGAGTCTTTGCAGCTTGGCTGCTGTTTTTTTTGCCAGGTGAGTCGTGACATGAGGTTCGCGAGGATCATGACTTCTGAAAGACCAGAAAGTGCCTCAACCCCCAGTTCAATACTATACCCCGCCCCAGCTCCCACAGCAACATTTTCAAAACACCACAAAAACAAACAAAAACGAACAACAAACCATCACATTATCATCAACAACTCCAACAGCATACCTGTACAGAAGCATATGCATAGATTCAGCAATAGCTACAACAAAACACCAGCAACACTCAGCAACTAGACAAAGTGTAAAATTATGTTTACAATTCTACGAAATTTTTGGAGTAAAAAGGCATGGAGTGGTGTTTGGCCACTCTCCTTGTTGTAGCCATGATGAACCCGTATGAACCAAAGGCACCAAAAGCGTGTGCAGCATGGTATGCGTGCTGGTTGGTAGGCTTCAGTCTGGTGAAGTTGATGGGGAGCCTTCGTTGCCCCCCCACAGGTCAAGGACATGAATATCATGTCAACTTGGTTCCTAAAACTCCTTGTGGTTATGCGTTTGGTTGAGTAAAAAAGGGCCAGTTTGATGTTTTTGTTTTCGGTCTTGCAGATGGCTTGTCATTTGGGAGGCGGTTCAGTGAGATGCCCACCACGCCTTGGGGCACGCGGCATTGGGCATGTGGTTGGCTATGCATCATGGCAGCCCCAGCCTATGCCTCTGACACGTCGGGAAGGGATTTTCAACAATTCGTTGACGACGTTGGGCGAAACCGCGACTTCTTCATTAGCGTGGCAAGTGCAGCCTTCGCATTTGGGCAATTGGTGGCGGCGTTCAAAGCCTCTCCAGAAGGCAAAATCCAAGAATCGCTGGCAAAGACCATGGAGCCTTTTGAACCCAGCAGGCCGCAAGACGAGGTCATCCAAAGGCCAGTGATGGAAACTCTCCGGCAACGCATTGCGAGCTGGCAACAACATGCGACCATCATTGGGGGTCGGTACCAGCCAGGAAAGTCCGGGGCAAGCCTTGCGCGGGGTGCGAGGTGTTGTTCGATTCACCATCAGAAGTGCCGATTGGGCAGATCGGATGTGCAAGCAACTGGGAGTAGATGACGAAGGGCTGTTCAAAGAGGTCATGCGGCGAGTGCCCGAGAAGCTCAAGGACTTCCCCAACAACCTCACCAAGTTTCCAATCCTTCTTCTTGAAGTCCCTCGTACAACCACCGAAGGACTGGCTGGACAAAATATGTTTTTGCAGTTTTCTAGCGATGCTGTAACGCATTTTGCCCTAGTCTTTTTGTTTCCGTTCCGCTTGCCGAGGCATCAACTTAATCTCTTCTACTGAAGGATGTGGCGACGGACAAAATCGGAAGTGCCATTCATGCCCCCCAGCTTCAATGCAAAATTCCAATGTTGCAAACGGAAACCAAGTTGAGGGAGTGGTATCTATGTCTGATTATCCTTTGTCCAAGGTGATTGTGTCAGCCTCTTCGGCGGCAGTGGCGTTGGCTTTTGATGCTGGAGGAACTGAAAGGCAGGAAGACATTTGGGTTGGCGACTTGACGGAGGAGGAAGCGAAGGAGTTTTTGGCACTGCATGGGCATGAGAACAAGTGGGAAAAACTTCGTGGATGCTTGTGTTTCAGCTCAATTCAACAACATGTTGGTTGATCAAGGTGTGTTTGCTGCGTTCAAGTTGCGTTCAAGTTTTTTTTTGGGGGGACTTTGACCGAGTTCATTTCAGGTGGCTTCCGGATTGGCGACTTGGCGAAGGCCTGTGAGAATCTGAAGCGCCTGGCTTGAACGGATGTGATTTACTTTTTCGGTGTTCAAAACCTCTCAGGGATATGTGTTGTGTATCTCGTGAACTAAGGAAAGGAATGTCATTGGACAACACTAAGCGAGAGTATCAGCGACTTGCTACTGTGGAAGTTGTCGGCTTCATGGAGCTTCAAGTGCACCCCAAGGTCACGGGGCGCGAGATGTTGCAAGAGCTCCTCAAAGTTTATCCTGAAGGCATCCCAGAGGTTTCAAACGGCATCAGCATCCTCCCAAGGGAGGTTGCCGCACTAATTTGCAATAAGAGTTGTCATGCTGTGTATTTTCACACAATCAAGAAGCGCTTCATTTTTGCCTCCAAATTGCATAAGGAGGCCGCTGAAGCGCAACTAGCAAATCCATGACCGATCTTTTGCGAAAATGGACGGAAGACTTCAGCTCCTTCGCTGTCTTGTTTGTGGATGTTTTTCAGCCCCATAAACACAACGCATGCATAGTATCAAGATTTAAATCAAGCTATGTGAGATGGTTATATTGATATCCCAATTCAAAGGATAGGAACGATCGGCATGCAGAGCCAAATCCATGCACCTGCACTTCAACATTTCCGTAATCGGGTGTGTTTGCGTTTGATTTGCTTTACCTGTTTTTCGTGTTTTTGTTGGGTTCTGAAGATGAACAAGAAGGGCTGCGAGTTGTGTCCCCCAGCTCGTGGCTTTCTTCAAGGCCTTGTCCACGAAGCAGATCCTGAAGTTTCGCGCGCAATGAAACCCGACATGGACCTTGGAGTCTTTGCAGCTTGGCTGCTGTTTTTTTTTGGCCAGGTGAGTCGTGACATGAGGTTCGCGAGGATCATGACTTCTGAAAGACCAGAAAGAGCCTCAACCCCCAGTTCAATACTATACCCCGCCCCAGCTCCCACAGCAACATGTACACCAAACACCACAAAAAAAGTCTAACAACAAACCATCACATTAACATCATCAACAACTCCAACAGCATACCTGTACCGAAGCATATGCATAGATTCAGCACAGAAGCCTACAACAAGAAACCGCACCAAAACTCAGCCAACCTAGGCAATGTGAAAAAAAATGTTTACAATACTGAAAAAACAGATGATGGAGTAAAACTGCACGGAGTGGTGTTGGCACACTCCTTGTTGTAGCCGTGAACCGAAGGCACCAAGTGCGTGTCAAGCCATGGATGGTGCTGGTCGGTGGCTTCAGTCTGATGAAGTTGATGGGAGCCTTTGGTGCCACGACCACAGGGCAAGGACTTGAAAATCAAGTTAACTTGGTTCCTAACTTTGTGATTAATGAGTTTGTGTTTTAAAGAAAAGGCCAGTGGAATTTCCTGTTTTGGTCTATGCAGATGGCTATGTCATTGGGAGGCGGTGCCAGTGAATCACAAACACACAAACCTTGTGCCGCCTCTTGGGCATGTGGTTGGGCTACATGCATCAATGGTAGCCCCAGCCTATGCCTCTGACACGTCGGGGCTGGATTTCAACAATTCGTTGAAGAGTTTGCGGGGAAGAAGGACTTCTTCGCTGCCTTGGCCAGCGCCACCCTATCAGTGGCGGGGACTGCAGTTGCAGTGGCGGGGACTGCAGTTGCAGTGGCTCAATTGGATCAAGCGTTCAAAGCCTCTCCAGAAGGCAAAATCCCACAAGCGCTTGGCAAAGGCCATGGATGCCTTTATGAACCCAGCAGGCCGCAAGACGAGGTCATCCAAAGGCCAGTGATGGAAGCTCTCCGGCAACGCATTGCGAGCTGGCAACAACATGCGCCCATCATTGGGGGTCGGTACCAGTCAGGCAAGTCTGTGGCAACAGAAGAAGCCTTGCGCGGGGCGCGAGGTGTTGTGCGATTCACCATCAGAAGTGCCGATTGGACAGATCGGATGTGCAAGCACCTGGGAGTTGATGACGAAGGGCTGTTTAAAGAGGTCATGCGCCGAGCGCGCGAGAAGCTCAAGGACTTTCCTGACAACCTCACCAAGTTTCCAATCCTTCTTCTTGAAGTCCCTCGTACAACCACCGAAGGACTGGCTGGACAAACTGCGAAGGATGTGGCGACGGACAAAATCGGAAGTGCCATTCATGCCCCCCAGCTTCAACGCAAAATTCCAATGTTGCAAACGGAAACCATGTTGAGGGAGTGGTATCTATGTCTGATTATCCTTTGTCCAAGGTGATTGTGTCAGCCTCTTCGGCGGCAGTGGCGTTGGCTTTTGATGCTGGAGGAACTGAAAGGCAGGAAGACATTTGGGTTGGCGACTTGACGGAGGAGGAAGCGAAGGAGTTTTTGGCACTGCATGGGCATGAGAACAAGTGGGTGGACTTCGTGGATGCTTGTGTTTCAGCTCAATTCAACAACATGTTGGTTGATCAAGGTGTGTTTGCTGCGTTCAAGTTGCGTTCATGTTTTTTGGGGACTTTGACCGAGTTCATTTCAGGTGGCTTCCGGATTGGCGACTTGGCGAAGGCCTGTGAGAATCTGAAGCGCCTGGCTTGAACGGATGATGATTTACTTTTTCGGTGTTCAAAACCTCTCAGGATATGTGTTTTGTATCTCTTGAACTAAGGAAAGGAATGTCATTGGACGACACGAAGCAAGAATGTCAGCGAGTTGCTGATGATGAAGTGCGAGGCTTCATGGAGCTTCAAGTGCACCCCACAGTTACAGGGTGCAAGATGGCGCAAGAGCTCCTGACGGCTTATCCGGCAGGTATTTTGAATGTTGTAAATGGCATCCGCATCCTCCCAAGGGAGGTTGCCGCACTAACTCGCAACAAGAGTTGTCATGCTGTGTATTTTCACCCAATCAAGAAGCGCTTCTTTTTTGCCTCCAAATTGCATAAGGAGGCCGCTGAAGCGCAACTGGCAAATCCATGACCGATCT